ACATTAGTTAATATGTTAACAAAGGGTTAATTTACTACAATCTGCGCGGTTCGCGGAGCTAATTGCTTGTTTTTATTTCATGGGGCTATATGCTAAAATGAGATAAGTTTAAGGACTTGTGAGATGGTTTTGCCATTAAACTCGGAGGACAGAGATGTCTTAATCAGGCTCAGCCCATTCTGCTGTGTTGTGTCGGGTCCTGATGGAGAGATTGGGAGGAGTAGACCCAAGGCCCACCACAACACACATGAAAGGGTAAAATCAATTGGGCCCATAATTGTCTCTTTCTTTTTTACATCGAAAAAGCTAAATTTTTTTAAGTAGAGTTTTAAGCTCTTAATTTTAATTTTAAACTAAAAAATTTAAATTAATAAATATTAATTTAACTAAGTTTTTGTTAGTTTGTTTCTTGAATTAGGAGGTTGGAAACAATTTATACAAAATATAAAAACTATTTTTTATGTAAAAATTAAAATTTGAGTAGCTAAAAAGATAAATAACTCTACTAGATCATACCACCAAAGCATCGTGAGGATGATAAACTGTTTTTACTTATTCTTACTTCACCTTACCATTTTATAAAAAAATATATATATATTTTAACTATATTATTGTAATGCCAAGTTGCCAACTTTTGGGAAAAGCCTCCACAAAAGTCCTTCATCAAGGCTTCTTTTCGGTATATATTATTTAATCTACCAAAACCGCAATTGGAAATTAATAATCTCCCCGTTGAATTAGGTCTTGACTCCATTATGGCAAATGCCGGCTAATGTCTCTCTTCTTACTTTATTCCAATGTTTATTATGTTATTCCTATGAAGGAAGGAAGATTTGCTTTTCATTGACTACTAAATTTGATTAAGTTGGCTTATAAATATATTTTGACTGTTTAAAAAATATTAGAGTTAGGTAAAGATAATTTTCTAGCATATTTGGTTTGATAAAACTAAAAAGGAAAATTATTTAATGGACGTTTTATACTTTGCTTGGCCATGTTTTACACATTATATATTTTTCCAAATAGTAAAAGATAAAAAATTAATAGTTACAATTATAATCTAACATAATACTAACAAAGGAATGTTTAAATTTAATTAAACAATTAAACAAAATTTTTTTCTCCTTCCTCCCCTCTATTTCGTTCAAATTAAACTAAACATGTAATCTCTAACCTAGGCAAGATAACTCAAGATGATATACTACTTGATCACTGCAAAAGTAATCCTTGATTTAGGACAATTAAACTCCACTTTTTCATCACAAAA